ATACACACACACACACACACACACACACACACACTGGTCTCTCATATAACTTCCAGGAGAGATTGACTTGCCTTAGTTTGCCAAGTTTACAGGCCAGAGAGTGACTGTGGCCTTGTCCCTGGGCAGCAGGCTCTGGTGCCTCCCCAGCTGCGCTAAAGGGTGTGAGGGTCCGGCTGGTGTGGGACGGTCCCATGCCCAGTATTTGGTACCTGGTGGGAGTCACCCCCCTGGGTGCAGAGCCCCCCCTGCACACAGGCCTTGCAGCCCGAAGGCTGGGGGGGAGAGTGAGGCTGCTTAGCAGAGCCCACGGCTTCTGCCCCGAGCCAGTTGGCCGTGCTCACACTTCCCAGAACAAACCCTGACCCCCATCTGTGGCATCCGACCCCATGGGTGGGGCGCAGCCTTCAGAGCAAAGTTGTCTAGACGAGCACACGTTGCTGTGGGTCACCCATGCCATGCAGCCCCTGATTTGGGCAGCAGTGAGACGGTGGTGGGGCGTCCGTTGCCTGATGCTGGGGTCTGGCTGAGGGTCGGGGTTTGGGGGGGGCCTGCGGGATCCACAGAATCTTGACGGGGAGGGTCTGAGGGCGGGTGTGTGTGCGCGGGGGGGGGTTATAGGAGGTGATGGGGAGAGGTCCGGCCACCACGGGGGTCAGTGATAAAAGGCCAGGCGACCCCCGTGGGGCGCTGAGCGTGTGGGAGGGGACCTGGGGAGTGACACCCACTGAAGCCCATGCCATGGGGTGAGCCCGGCTCAGATGGGCCGGGGCACAAGGGCTCCCCACATTGTCTGAGTAGCCTGGCTAGGGAGCGGCCAGCACTGCGCTGGTCTCAGCTCTGTGGTCACTGTGGCCCTCCCGAGTCTGCCCAGCGGACTGGCCTTTGGGGACACTTGGGGGGGCAGCCCTCAGTGCTTCCTTGCTCTGTCTGACCCTGGCTCCCTTTTGACCTTGTTTCCTTCCTGCACACCAAAGGTTGAGCCCATGAATTCTGTGCTGTGACCCCATTAATTCTGTCCTCCTGGGGATATCCTCGGGGGTCACTGCGGGTGAGGTGGGTCAGGCTCGGCCCCCCTGCAGCGATGAGACAAAGAAGAAAGGGGGGGCGCATTGTCGTCGAAAACCCCCTGGTCCGTGAATCCAGGTCCTGGTGCAGACGCAGGTCAGTGAGTGCTCCCTGCACGCAGTGTCGTGCTCCCGCGTCCCTGCCACCTAGGAAGCACGGGTCTGGGGATGCCCCGCTTCTCCCCTTTCAGGGCCTGCTGGGGCCCACCTGGTAACTGCCCGTGGGCTGTGAGGCTGAGGGCAAGAGAGGAGGCGAGATGGGCCTTGAGGATGCAGGGCCACAGGAAGGAATGGAACGAGAGAGGGGCCAGGGCACGGCAGCGGGGAGGCACTCCCCCTTGCACCTGGTGGACCCCTATTCCATCTCCAGCACCACATATGGCCCCCTGAGTCCCGCCAGGAGTGATCCCTGAGCACAGTCGGGTGTGGCCCCAAGACACAAAGCACTACAGGAGAAAAGTGGCCGGCAGATGAGACGTGCGTGTAGGCTTCGCCTGGGTTCAAGTGCGGGCACCACGGGGACAGGAGGGCTCCCCCCACCCACCCCGAATCCAAACGAAACGAAACAGAACTGAGCTGGTTGTAGTGGCAGAGGTGAGGGGCTGTCTGGAAGGCCGGAGGACTTGGCGACAGGATGTGTGAACCGCAGGGAAGAATCGAGAGCAGGATGGATGAGCTGCGAGTTTCTGACTTGACCAGTGTGTGTGTGTGTGGGTGTGTGTGGGTGTGTGTGTGTAGTGTGGGTGGAGGGAGAAGGGGCACCACCAAGTCAAAGGGAACGAAAGCAGCCAACTGGTTGGGGAAAGGAGAATTTATTCTTTGGCACCTGGATTTTGAAGGGTCCCTGGCACCCAGGGGAGAGTCCAGTGGCAGCTCAGATGACTGGCCCACAGCAGAGGGCTGCATTAGGCTAGTATTGGAGCACCTGGAACCCTCAGGAGGGCACGGGGCGAGTGGCCAGAGGGACAGCACAGTGGTTAGGTCACCGTAACGCAGCTGACCTGGGTTCAATACTTGGTGCCCCATATGGTCCCCCGAGCCTCACCAAGAGTGATCCCTGAGCACAAAGCCAGGAGTAAGCCCTAAACATCTCTGCATGTAGCCCCCCAAATAAAACCAAAATAGTAAAATAAGGCAATACTTGAGGGTGAGCTGAGCAGGCTGTGAGTAGAGGCCCAGACATCCGGGTGGGATGGTCAGGCCTGGGGCCCAGAAAGATGCTCAGGGGCGGAGGACCGTGGCATGGAAGAAACAGACGCCAGAAAGATGAGTATAATGACATCTTCTGGGTTGGCCCTACAGTCACAGGTGATTGGGCTGCAAAGGGCTGGGGATATGGAGCGGTGGGGGAAACCAATGCAAAAATGGGGGACTGTGAAGGTGAGAGGATCCGGAGGTGGGTGCAGAGACCACAGAGATTTTTGGGCAGAGGACTTCATCTGGGGGGCTTTGGGACCACACCCAGCAGCGCTCAGGGCTTCCCCAGCTCTGTACTGATGGTACTCGGGGTGCTGGGGATCAAACCCAGATCGATCAAGTCAAGGCCCTACCCATTGTACTCTCCAGCCCCACAGAAGGGAACATCAATATACCGAGAAGGGGCAGGAGACAGGGCAGGGTTGAAGAGATGCTGTGGGGATGGGGGGGGGGGGGTGCAGTCCAGGGAGGCGGGAAGCCCAGAAGGCGGGTGGGAGTAAGGAGTGGGTGGGGAGGGTCCCCCCACTTCGGAGCTGTCATGTCAGGAGAGGTGGAATTCCCACCAGGGGAGAAGGCTGTGAGCAGAGGGTCATCTAGGAGTTAGACGGAGCCCCTGAAAGGACTAAAGCCGGGGCAAATGAATGCCATGGCGGGAAGGGGGCTGGCTTCCCAGGCTGACAAGCTGTGGCCGGGCAAGGCTGGCACGGTGGCAGGAAGGATGCAGGGAATGTGGGCACAGGGAGGTGAGCTGGCCTTGGAGGTCCAGGAAGCCGATGGTCTCTACAGGCCCCCGCGATCCGCAGGGCCGAGCGAGCCTGGACCAAGCCTGGACCGAGCCCAGCCCTAGGGCTCCGCCGTGTCCGACGCAGGTGTGCTCAGGGGCTGGTGTGGGTGAGATGAGTGTGAGCAGGGCACGGACATTCTTGTCGCGCATGAGTGAGAGTTACTTGACTTTGTTTCCGTGCTGTGGGCCGGGATCCCTGCTTGCGTCCTGACCAGAGGGGTTGCCCTGGGAACCAACCGCCAGGAAACCAGGGCCTGACGCGGTGGTGAGGCCAGTGACGGGTTCAATCCTTCAAGACAAGTCGGCCTCCTGGTTCATGGGCTCCCACCCTGGGGCTCACTGCTAGTGACCGCTGCTGGCTTCGGACCACGCCTGTTAGATCTCCCCCCAAACGGGCTGGACTTAAGGAGGACTCAGAGACATCCGGGTGTTTCAGAGGGACGGTCTGGCCGGAAGGTCTCTGACAGGCTCCTCCTGCCCGGTCGGCAGGCCCATCACCTCCGTTGGCTGGCCCCGATGCTGCCTGCCACTTGAGCCAGGGGGTCGCCACTGTCAACGGTCTGAGTGCTTGGGACGCTTCCTTTCGCGCATGGGAGTGAGTGTTACTTCACTTGATTTCTGTGCCATGGGCCAGGATCCCTGCTTGCGTCTGGTGGTGAGAGTGTGTGGGCAGGCGACGGGAGTGGGTGGGCAGGTGGCGAGGGTGTGGGGCAGGTGGTGAGGGTGTGCAGGGGAGCAGGTGTAAGGGTGTGTGGGCAGGTGTGAGTGTGCAGTGAAGGTGTGTGGGCAAGCATGGAGGGAAGCCTTGTGGGTGCCGATGTCCACTGCCCGGCCCCCAGTGTCGTTGTCCTGTGTGTCCCTCCCCGCCCTCCACCACCCGGCCCCCGCTGCACCCATGTGGGATGCCAGCTATGCACTCACTCCCGGGACCCGCCCCCCAAGCCTGCCCCATCTCTTAGGACCCATTCAGCATTTCTGTCCCCTTTAGGGCCAACCTGGTCATTCTCCTGGGCCGCGTCCCCACCAAGGAGCCAGCGAGGGGATGGGGGGGGCGCCCAGGAAGCGTTATTCAGACAAACCCTGAGGGCAGGAACTTCCATCCGATCCCACCCGCACGGCCCCCACTGGACGCCCAGCTCTAGCTGGCCCTGCCCGGCTGGGACAGAATGGGGGTCCCATGGGAGCTGCCCCTGAACAACGGCCGTGCTTCCTGAAGGCAGTGTGGGCCTTGTGGGGAGCCCCCTCTGACATGGGGCGCTGCCCCTGCACTTCCCACAAAGGCCAGGCGCTCCTGGAGTCACCCACCCCTGAGCCAGTTACCCTGTGGAAGCAGGAGGAGCTGCTGGAGCCCTCCGTGTGAGGGGCTTCCCCACCCGAGCCCCCGACTCCCCAGCAGGGCCCCCCTGGGACCCGCGCTCAGTTCTCGGGGCTCTGGAGACGCAGGGTGGTGAGACACACAGTTTAATGGCTGCTTCCTGGTTCTCAGACACGCCTCTCTCCATGCAGGGGGGTCGGGGACACTGCGGGAGTGGGGCTAGGGCGGCAGCCAGGCCGACTGGCTCGGTAACTGCAGACATGGGGGAGGGGGGGCTCTGGTGAAAGTAGGGGTGAGGCAGCAGAGCAAGAGGGGCTGTGGCTGCCACGCATCCCATAAGGGCCGCGGGAAGTTGGGATGACCGTCTGGGGGTGACCTGAGCACCACAGGGGTGGCTGCATCCTGAGGCTGCTAAGACCTTGGCAGGGGCTGCACAAAGGTCGTCGGGCACAGGAGGGAGGAGCAGGCCTCGGTCTGCACCCCATTGTAGAGGGGCCAGCTGAGAGACGCGTGTCCCGGAAGCACATCGGTTGGCTGTGCATGGCTTTTCTCAGGAGGGGAGAAGTGAAGGGGGCCGGGGGAGCTGTGGGGGGGGGGGGGGGCGAACAGTGGCCCCGGCTTCCCCGCGCCCCAGGTGCCCATGGCTCTGTGTGCGTCCCAGGCGGGCCTGGTTCCAGGTGTCTCGGGTGGGCCCGGCTCCAACCCGACCCTCTAGCTGAGCATCTTGTGTCGGTCGAAGACTGTCTTGCGCTGCTCCTGCACCTGCAGCTTCCAGCGCTGCTGGGCGCCCTCCACACGCTCCAGCACCGTGTTGGCCCGCGGGCCTCCCAGGGCGGCTGCGGAGGCGGCCATGCGAGCATCCTGCAGGGAGATAGAGAGATTTGCACACGCCCCGCAGCACCCCCGCGCTGGACTCCCCTGGACGGGGAGGCAGCGCCCTCCCACCAGGGCGGCTCACTCCCAGGGCCCAGCGCCCTGTGCTGGGTGGGTGGGGCGGCTCAGTGTCCGCGGGGCAACTCCAGGTGGGGCTTGGGAACCAGGGGCCACAGAGTGGGCTCCAGGCACCACGACGGTCGGTCACATCGGTTACCCCGCAGCCTGTCTCGTCCCGCCCCCGGCGGGGTGGCAGAGCTCAGTCTCGCATTCATCAATACCGAGACCCCTGGCGGCGCATCCACCCTAGTAGTGGTGAGGGACCCCAAGAGCTTGCCCAGAAAGAGCCCCCCAGGACCTTGCTCCAGTGGGTGGGGGCTGGTGCAAGGCCTTCCTCCCCGATGGGGGGATGCAGTGTCCCCCATGGAGCCTGGCAGGATGAAAATGTGCAGCACTCACTGCACCCCACACTGCTGCACCCTCATCCCTGCAACCCATACCCCTGCACACCTGCACATCTTCACACCCCTGAACATCCTTACACCCGCATCTCACACCCCTGCACCCACCGCAACCCATACCCCTGCACCCCCGCACCTCCTCACACCCCTGCGCACCAGCACCTCTGCACATCTTCACACCCCTGCACTTTCCCACTTGTGCCTCACGCCCCTGTACATCCTCATCTCCACATGCCACACCCCTGCACATCCTCACACTCGCACCCCACACCCCTGCACACCTGCACCCCTCTACACTAGCACCCCATGCACATCGTCACACCCCTGCACCCCCTTACACCTGTACCCCACACCCCTGGACATCCTCACACTCGCACCCCACACCCCTGCACACCCACTCTTATATTCTGGACCCCCACCCCTCACCCCTGCACTCCTCCACCCCCTCACAGCTGCCCTAGTATGGGGCCGGCCCCTCTGCTGACAGCTGATTTGGCCCCTCCCCTTCCCTTTGCTCTGTATGGGTTTCTGTCCTCAAAAGGGGCCTTCTCCCCTAATTACCACTCTCGCCTCCCGAGCCCCTGCATTTCCTGCAGGACCTGAACCTGATCTTTGGGGGAATTAGAGCTGAGGGCCAGGCCCACACCCCCGTGGGGATTTCCTCCTGAGCTCTCCCTGCCTCTCATCTCCTGCCACACGTCTCTTAAGGGATTAGCACACCTCTCTAAGCCCAGCGCCGCCCAGTAAATGCAACTTTGCTTCTAATGCCCCAAGCTGGCACGGCTTCTGTCGCCACACAGCTGCCAGGCCGGGCGGAGGGGGGCGGCCGGGGACGGGGCAGGCACGAGCGAGCTGGCAGTTTCCGAACAGCGGCTGGGCTGAAACTCGCTGTCACCCAGGGCCACAGGGCTCTAAGTCACTTCCTGGGAGCACTGCCCCGGGTGCAGTGGAGGGAGACACGTACCCCCAGGAAACCCTTGTCGGGGACCTTGGAAGCTCCCGGAGGAATGGGAGGTGAGGAGAGAGGGTCCCTTTGCGGTGCAGTGCCGGCAGCGCCAGGCAGGGGGCGCACGGAGCCCGGATCCAGCCTCCAGGCCTCCAGCTGGCCTGCAGGGGCCACTTCCTTCCAGGGCCTTCCCCAACCCCGGCCACTTAGAGGCTGAGTGCCCTGCAGGTCACTCTGGTCTTTCCAGGCTATTGGGCCGCGTTGGGAGAAAGTACGTTCACCAGGTGACACAACAGGCACAACTCACTCCTGCTCACAGACACACGGCGTCTCACGCCCACACGCACTCACATACACCACACTCATACCCCCTCACAACACCCACACGACACTCCCATATACACTCTCACACATACACTCACATCCCTTCACATTCACACACTCACGCCCTCACAACACTCTCAGACATATGCCGCCTCACACACACACACACACACACATACACTCACACTCCCTCACACTCACACACATACACCTCACATACTCACACCCTCACAATGCTCTCAGGATACACTGCTTCAAAACACTCACACAAGACACTCACACCCCCTCACACATTCTCATACTCTCATGCACCTCACATGTCCCCTCACAACACTCAAACGCTGTATATAATACTCATACATACTCACACACATACTCTCACACCTCCTCACACTTAACACTTTATGCCCCCTCACAACATTCACACACATACACTCACACCTTACACACCTCCTCATAACACTCTCACACATATCCCTTCACACACAGCCCCCCAAAACACAGTACACTCACGCCCCTCACCTCACACACATCCATTCACTCTCTATTTCTCTCTCACACACGCCGCTGAGTGTGATGCCCCCGATATCCCCTGCTCTGCCCATTGCTGACCATGACACTAACTCGACTTCCCAACCTCCTGGCTGTCACCAGTTTGACAAAAAGTACAGCAGATGAAGAGATGGTCTGGCTAGAAGGATTCATGGAATAATAGAATAAAGTCCCAAGCATGCAAGAACAATCCTGAGCATGTATAGACAGTTCCCAGTGTGCATAGCCAGCCCCAAGTGTGCAGAGACCATCCCGAGTGTGCACAGATAGTCCTGAGTACACACAGATAGTCCCAAGTGTGCAGAGACAGTCCAGAATATGTATGAACAGTCCCACGTGTACAAGGACAGTTGAGTGTGCACGAACAGTCCCAAGTGTATATGGACAGTTCCGAGCATGCACAGACAGTCCAGAGTGTACACAGATAGTCCTGAGCATGCAGAGACAGTCCTGAGAGTGCACGGACAGTCCCAAGTGTGCAGAGACAGTCCTGTGTGTGCATGAACAGTCCTGAGTGTGCACAGACAGTCCTGAGCATGCAGAGACAGTTCTGGGTGTGCACAAACAGTCCTGAGTGTGCACGGATAGTCCTGAGTGTGCAGACAGCCCTGAGTGTGCATAGACAGTCCCAAGTGTGCACAGGTGGTCCTGAGTGTACACAGACAGTCCTAAGTGTGCACAGACAGTCCTGAGCGTGCAGAGACAGTCCTGAGTGTGCATGAACAGTCCTGAGTGTGCATGAACAGTCCTGAGTGTGCACGAACAGTCGTGACTGTGCACAGACAGTTCTGAGTTTGCACAGATAGTCCTGAGCGTGCAGAGACAGTCCTGAGTGTGCATGAACAGTCCTGAGTCTGCACGGACAGTCCTGACTGTGCACAGACAGTTCTGAGTTTGCACAGATAGTCCTGAGCGTGCAGAGGACAGTCCCGAGTATGCACGGACAGTCCTGAGTGTGCAGGGATAGTCCTCAGTGTGCACAGACAGTCCTGAGTGTGCAGGGACAGTCCCGAGTGTGCAGACTGGCAGAACAGGAGCTCTGTTAAACACAGGAGTGAAGAACATGCTGGAATCACTCTGGGCTCAGACCTCAGCCCCAACACCTCCCTTGGCCTCAGCCAGGGACCCGTGCTGGGCACCATCTTCCCTCCCCGTCCAGAAAACCAAAGCTTCTTCCTAAAGGGATCAAGCAGAGGTAGCCGGGCAGGACCCCAAGAACATGGCGATCCTGAAAGTCCCCAACCTGTGGCTGACAGGCAGTGAAAGGAGGAGTAAGGAGGTGCTTGCGGAGGGGGCTGCCTGTGAGGGGCCTCGTGCATTCTCCATTCTGCTCCTCCGGGTTCAGCTGTGCCCCTCACCCCCTACCCCCTCCGTCCAGTGCCCCCCGCCTAGGTCCAGTCAGAACCGAGTGGCTCCGGCTGGAAAGGACTCCTCGTTCCATCCCCCCTGGGCCCCGGGGAGCCGGCAGGGCAGCCCGGGCCAGGCTGGGCAGGGGCCCCTTCTCCCTGCGTCTCCCCATTTGCCTGCTGCGTCTCGGGGAGCCGCAGAGAGCCAAGAGCGGAGCATTAAGGAACAAGCTGTGATTCACCGCATTACCACAGTCTCATTTGTTTTCCCTTCATGTAAAGTCTTAGCAAACAGCGCCTAAGTGGGGGAAAGCTGCCGCTGAGAGGCTCCGAGCTCCCATCGCTAATAGTCTGATTAACAGGTATTAAAGACTCCACATCTGTTCCCAGGAGGCCAGAATCGGGCCTTGGAGGAGCCTGCTCGGCGGCTGGGTCGGAGCAGCACCCCCACTTCCGAGCCTTCCTCCCTCAGGGGCTCGGGGACGCTCAGCCGGGGAACTGGGTACTTGGTGACACGGCAATGCAGGCCAGGCGCCATCTGCCCTCCTCAGCCTTGACGTCTGCTCCGAGCACCCTGGCACGGGTGAGGCGCTGTTGCTACCCTGACCCTGGGGGGCCCAGGAGGGTCTCCTGAGGAGCTGCCGCTGGGCATGGGGAGGCCCTAGAGGTCCACGTGGCTGAGCCGGGGCAGACACGAGTCCCGGGGGAGCCTTTTCTAGCACCCAGGACTACCAGGGACCGGGAGCTGCCCCATGGCAGACTGTCCCCATGGCCTCCCCCGTGGAGCAGGGGGATGGGCAGCAGCTCGGATGACTGACCAGGTAGCCTGGCAGGAAGGGCTGTGAGCTCTGCTGCCGGCTGTCCCAGGCACCCACTCTCACCAGGTCCCCCACCCCCAACCTCAGGGCCAAGCACTTCCCACATGGGACATGCTGCAAATGGGGGTCCTTTCACCAAAGGACTCAGCCTGCTGGAAGGGCTTGTCCTCGCAGGGTCCCCAGCCCAGGCAACCACCCCCCCCACAGTCACAGTGGGGGGCTGGGGCCTTCGCGTCTCCAGCAGCTGCTCAAGGGGTTTGGCACTACCGATACAGAGGCCGAGCCAGGGACCCCCAGCCCTGCTTCTGACAACATGGCATGCATTTCACAGGGTTCTAGAATCTTCTACTGAATGGTGCCCTTGCCCCGCCCCTGCTCGGAGGAAAGGGGCCTGAGGTCAGAACTTCTGAATTAGGCCCCCCTCCTGTCCCTGATACCCACCATGCTGATATGGGGTGGGGTAGGGGGCTCACAGGGGCTGCATCTTCTCCTTGGCCCTGACGCCCCCGCACAGGGATCCCGGGCTGGACCAAGGCCCGCTGGACACCGTTGGGGCTCGGGGCTGTGCATGAGGGCCAGAGACTCTCTGAGCCCACGGACCTTCTTTCTCTCTCTTCAAAGAGGCCCAGCCCGTACTTCTAACGCAGCTCTGTTGCCATTTCTGCCCCAGCAAACATGCTCGCTTCCTCCTTTCAAAGGGCGTCTGAGCTGGGGGATTAGGCCTAATGCTGCTGGAATCCAGGGGCGGCAGCGCCCCACAATCAGGGCCCACGGGGGCCTGCCAGCCCTTTCAAAGGGAACCGGGGGCTTTCATCTCCCTCCACGGGCCTGGGGCTGCAGGGGGAGCCCCTTCCTCTTCCAGCCCCCAGCCTCCGGGCAGGGGCGCTGCTGGCTCCAGGCTGGGGCCTGGGACGCAGCCAGGCTTCACCCCCGGGGGGTCCCAGACTCCTGCAGGGCGGGTGGGTGTGGGGGGGATGATGTCCAGAGGAGGCTCGGTCCTCCTCGGACAGGCCTGGAGACTTGTGTCTGGGGCGGAAGAGAAGTCCCTCCTCCCTGGGCAGGCCTGTCCTTGCTCCCTCAGGGAAAAGTGCTCTGCGGACCAGCTGCAAACCCCAAAGTTCTGTCTCCGTCCAGCCTGACCAGGCTGCCTGGGGCAGTGTCTTCTCCTGGCCCCCACCTGGCGCAGAGAAGGTGGGTCAGCAGAGTGGGTGTCCCTCAACATGCAGGGCCTGGGTTTCTCGAGGGTATGGGTCCTTGGACACTGGGTAACACACCCCCTACTGCTGGGCGGCCATGCTCCCCACCCTGAGTGCGCATATGCCCCCTCCACCAGGAAGTCTTCCTTTCTCCCAGACTCACGGCCAGAGAAGGGCACAGCCCCCCCAGGCCCTGCCTAGCGGAGCCCCCTAACCCTGCCACCAGCTTTCTGGTTTTGGTTTGTGGGTCACATTCAGTGATGCTCAGGGGTCACTCCTGGCTCTGCACTTAGGAATTACTCTTGAAGGTGCTCAGGGGACCCTATAGGGTGCTAGTGATCGAACCCTTTCTCTACTCTATCGCCTCTGAAGGCCTAGCCGTCCTTGGTCACCTGGTCTGGGCTCTGTCCTGGGGATAGCGGACTCTGTGCTGACGTCTGAGTGTGCAGGTCAGAAGGGTCCAGTGGATGCCAGGAAGGGCCGAGCTGGGAACCCTTGGGGGGGGGGCGGGTATTCACCCCACAGAATCCCAGGTGAGGGGATGGAGAAGCTGCACCCAGCCCTGGGTGGGGGGTTGGGGCAGAGCCTTCCGAGGGTTTCCTAGTCAGGCTGCACCTCAGGCTGGGGCATCAGAGCCTGAACCTATTTCCTAGCACCTTCTGGGCTGAGACCCCAGAGGCCCCTTTCTCAGTCAGGTAGAGGTCTGCCTCATAGGGGGGCACAGGGGACTGGCACCCCTCACCCCCTCTGCCACTCCTCACCAGGAGCTGTCCACCCCGGGGAGCCAGCGGCTGCTCCCAGGAACCAGAGTGGACCCCTGCCCTCCCCCTGAGCCTCGCCCACAAACATGCTGTCAGTGACTCTCAAGACCCCCAGTGGGGATCCCCAGCTCCTGGGTGGAGGGGGGCTGCCCTCCCGCTGGAGACCGAGGGGAGAGCCAGGCATTCCGGGGCCGGCAGCCCTGTGTAATCAGCGCCGCTCTCAGCTCCCCCGGCCAGGCTGCAATTACCACCTTCCCCAGGGCTGAGTGTTCATTAGCCGGGCGGGCGCGCCCCCATCAGAGCTGCTATTACCGCGCATTAATCACCAGGTGGGCCCCAGGTTTCCTCTGCAGGAGGACCACCCAACGGCCAGCACCCCCGCCCGGGCCCAGCACAACCTCCCAGGGCAACACCCACCTCGGAGCCCTACCTCTGACCCTCCTGGGGTGGGTGCCTGGGATGCGTGGGGTCTCATGCCATATAGAGCCCCCCGCCCAGGGTGGGATGCAGCAGCCCAGTCGGGACCCCCTGCTCCCTGCCGCCACACACTCCATGGTGGCTCTTCCTTCCCAGGACACGTCCCCCCCGTCCCATCCTTCTCCCAGGACAGGTCCAGCCCCCCCCCCCCCCCTTTACTGGGCTGGCCTGCTGGCTCCCTTGTGGCCCCTGACGGAGACCCTGGACAGTGGTAACCAGCACCTCCCCAGGCGCAGAGCAGCACTGAGGGGTGCAGGCTGGCATCGTGCAGAGCCGCCAGCTGGTGAGGGGAGGTCCCAGAGCCTCGCCTAGACTAGGCGGGTTGGGGAACTCTGTGACACTTCTCAGACCCACAAGACCCCTTCCCTGGGCCTCTATCCGGGCAGCAGGAGCCCGCAGGTGTGTGTGTGGGGGGCAGGCGGACACCCCCACCTTTGCGGGACACCCCAGCTTCACACCCGAGGCTGTCAGCCGGCGTCCCCTCGAGGCAGCTCTGTCCAGCATCGTCCCCGGAATGCTCCCAGTCCCTCTCGCGGCCACCGTGATGCCCACCCCAAGGCCCTGGCCATGTGCTGCTTGTCCCCAACATCTGACATCCCCTGGGCTCCCCTGCACCCGTGCTGAGGCCCGGGGTGGGGGTTAGGGGTGCCCCCTGCCTTGGTTCCCAGGCATGGGTGTCTGGCCCTCGGGGCGGGGGAATGGGGTAATGTCCAGCCCACGGGCCCCGTCCCCTCTCGGTACCTCGTTCTCCTCCTCATTGTGCAGTTGCTCAGTGTACGCGTCCGGCTTCCGGATCAGCGGGTCCACCAGCATCAGGAAGGCCATGTAGAGCAGGAGGGCCCCCACCACTGACAGGTAGATGACGATGATGACCTGCGGCAGGACGGGCAGCCGTGAGCCTGGCCCTGCCCGCACCCTGCTGCTGGCCACACCACTTTGGGGGAGCCTCCCCCAGGGCTGGCCGACCTTCTCTTCCACCCAGGGACGCCAAGAGAAAGGCCACTGGGGCCAGCAGAGAGGACAGGACACAGGAGTGGGTCCAGCTCTGACAGCCCACACTGCTGCTGGGACTGGGGCAGGAGGATGGCAGTCGCCCTGGCCATGGGAGTGTCCTGGGGTGGGGATAGCGGTCGCCCTAGCCATGGGAGTGTCCTGGGGTGGGGATGGCAGGGTTGTCCAGGCCATAGGAGTGTCTTGGGTCTAGGGGTGGGGAGCTGGTGCATGGCGGGGGGGCAATGGTCCTAAGGGGGAGGAAGAAGCAGCACCCAGGGAGAAGCCTGGAGGCCAAGAGCTGGGTGCAGGTTGGGGGCTGCGGTTCAGAGACTGCCTGCTCCCCTCTGGCTCTCTGGTGCACACAGCGGGCCTCAGGGGTCACTCGGGGTCAGAGGTCACATCCACCCTCCTGGGGTGCCAGGGTGGGGTGACCTCTCACACCCAGGGGGAACCCTGTGAGCTGCTTTGTTTCACTGGGATCTCATGGTTGGGGGCAGGGGCGGGGTTATGTCCCAGGTTGGCTTTCACAGAGCAGATGAACTGGGGTCCTCCCCAGGGGCAGCCATAGTCCAGGTGCTCACCCGGACCCCACGCACGAAAGGGGGAGAGGCCCTGTGACCCCAGACACAGGCTCCGCTCTTGGAGTGTGTCGTGCCCTCCCGCCAGGCCTGGCACCATCAGAGGGAATCTGGTCTGGGGGGCAGCCGGTCAGCTGCCAAGCTGGGCCTATGGGGGGACTTGCTTCTTCCCTGACGGGGCCTCTAAGCACAGTGGACATGAGCCCGGCTCCCAGGTATCCGGGAAGGGGGAAAAGAGAAAAGGCGAGAGCCAGGCGGGGGTCTCCCAAGGACCGGAGGGAGACCTGAGGGATGAGGAATCGGACGTAGCTGGGTCCCCACGACAGGATGTCCCCTCCCTGCCAGCACAGGCGACACCTGGCTCAGAACTGAGGGTGCAGACACCTGGTTCCCTGGAGCCCGCTCAGAGGAGAACAGGCTGGGTGGGGGGCAGAAGATGGAAGCCCCTGAAGGCAGAGGGGGCAGTGTGGGAAAGCATGGGGCGGCAGCAGGAAGGCGGTGGGACAGGGAGGACTGCGGGAGGATGGGGCATGAGGTGGGGAGGATCACGGGAGGAAGGGAACGGGGAGGGGAGAATTCAGTAAGGAGCAGCAAGTGTCTGAGAACAGGAAATGGCTAGTGCGGTGGCCAATTGGAATGTTCCAGAGCAAAGCACACAGCTGTGGGTGCAGGGTAGCAGGGATACTAATGGCATGCGGGCCCCAGGCTGGGACTGGGACTGTGGGTGGTGTGGCCCCGGGGTGGCCAATGGCACATCCCCAGCTGGGACCATGCGTGTCGTGCCTGGCTGGGACCATGCGTGTCGGGCACGGCTGAGACCATGGGTATCAGAGCTGGGATGGGACTGTGGGCAAGTGCCGACTGGGACCGTGGGTGCGGGGCCCAGGTACCACCTTGATGGTGGTGGTGCTGCGCTCCTCGTAGCGACACTCGCACAGCAGGCAGTAGGCCTCCACGTCGTGGCCGGGCACGGGCATGGGCTCCACCACGTGCAGGCAGTTGCTGCAACAGAGACAGACGCGCGTGTGGCGGAGCGGGAGAGAGGAGCCTCCAGGGCAGGAGGGGGGCTCCGAGAGAGGGAGGACGACACGGGAGGGTGACACGGGAGCCCTGACCCCCGAGGCCTCCCCCGCGCCCCACACTTCCCCCGCCCAGCCCACGGTGATGCTCAGAGCCCCCAGCTCAGCCCTGTGCAGCCTGGTGTGTGTGGGCTTAAACAGCCCACGCCACCGCCTTCTTTGTTCTTGCCCTGCACAGGCCCAGCTGGGGCCTCGTCATTTCTGCTCCAGAAGTGGCCAGAACCTTCCACCGTTGCCCACCGCTGCCCACCGCTGCTGGGGCCTGCTTGGGGCTCCCCTCCTTCATGCTGTTCCAGGACCACCTGGAGTCTCCAGAGCAGAATGAAGTTGGGGCTGCCCCGACCCCTGGTTCCCACTGTCCAGCTTCACCGCTGTAGGGCTCGGCCCACCCATCCCGCATGTGTCCACCTCTGACCGCCCTCCCAGCACCCCACCTCCCTCCCGCACCCATCCCTCATTCCCACCCCAAAGCCCCCATCATTCAAGGTTCAGCTCTCAGCTCCCCAGATGGGGGCCTCGACCTGGCCACCACACCTCCACGGCCCGGAGGGCAAGTCCCCCGGGCAGAGCAGGGTCCAGTGAATGAGAGACAAGACCTCCTGCCCCCAACTCTGGGGACACGCCCCCTTGGCCTCTATCACCCCACCAACAGGCCACCACATACGTGGTGTGATGCAGGCCAGGGCCATGGGCTTATTTGTTTGGGACCCACGCCTGGCGGTACTCAGGGCTGACTCCATGCTCAAGGGTCACCCCTGGTGGGGCTTGGGGACCATGTGTGGTACTGCATGCAAGGCAAGCGCCCTCCCCTGTGGACCACTTCCCCGGCCCCAGGACAGGTTCTGCACGCAGGCGGCGCAGCTCCAGCCTTGGGCCCCTAGGCTCCTCCAGCCAGGACCGAGAGCATCCACAGCTGACACTGAAGCAGCCCTTAAGCACCGCCAGATGGTGGCCTCCAAACCAAAAGATAAGAAGGAAAACTAAGGCAGGAGAGACAGGACAGCAGGAAGAGCACTTGCCTTGAATAAGCCCGACCAGGATTCAATCCCCAGGACCCCATATGGTCCCCCTGCGCACCATCAGGAGTGATTCCTGAGTGCAGAGCCAGAGGTAAGCCCTGAACACCACGAGGCATGGCCCCAAAACAGAGTGAGGAGAGAGAGAGGGAGGGGGAAGGGGAGGGGAGAGAGAGAGAGAGAGAGAGAGAGAGAGAGAGAGAGAGAGAGAGAGAGAGAAGAGAGAGAATGAAACAACAAACCTAGAATGTTTGCTTACAAAAAGCTTTCTAAGTGCCTCTACCCCTAACGCCATCCACGTGGCTTCCAGGCCCCTCTGCTGGACACCTCCAGTTCCGGCCCCCTTTCGCCCCAGCTGCAACCCTGTGCCAAGTCCACAGACAGCAGGATGCAGGGGATGGCAGCTGGTCTCTGTCCAGGGCTCGCCCTTCTCTGGGGTGCCTCCACCAGCACCCTCTCAGGGACACAGGAGGTCTCTGTGAGGTGCAGGGATTCCCTGCAAGGCCAGGATGGGGCGTGAGGGTGGGCCTTCCAATGGCGAGGCCCAGGGAATGAGGCACAGGGGACAGGGCTTCTGGGGAGTCTGGAGTGATAGTATGGTGAGGAGGGCATTTGCCTTGCATGCCACCGGCCCAGGTTCAATCCCCAGCATCCTATAGGATCCTCTGAACACCCCCCAGAGTAATTCCTGAGCACAGAGCCAGGTGGGATCCCTGAGTATCACAGGTGTGACCGCCAAACAAAGCTGTGCATAGCTCTCCCAAGCTGGGGGTGGGGACAGGGTGTGCTTCCTGGGGGCTCCCAGGCTCTCTGACAAGGATATCAAAGACTCCCTGCCAAGCAGGGCACTGAGGGGGGGGCGGGGGGTGAGCAGAGAGACAGCGGAGATGGGAATGGCCTTACTCCTCTGCGCCTCCTTGTTGCTGGGGACTGGAGTGGGGGGTGGATTGGGCCCCCACCGACAAACAGGGGCGGAACTCCACCAGTGCTGCTGGCCCCCTCTGCACAGAGGGGCAGTGACGAGGGAGAGGCTGGTGGGGGTCCCCTCTCCCGGGCAGAGCTGCCTGGCCCTGTCTCCCCCAGGATGTTTCCAGGACAGATGTGTGCTGCAGAGGGTGCCAGCTTCTGGAAGGAGCGTGGTGCTGCCCTGCTCCGGGCGCTCTCCCTGATGCTTTGGCCTGCCCAGCCCAGGGGAAGGGTCTTCTCCCAGCTGGGACCGGCAGGAAGCAGTGGTAATGGAGCACAAACAAACCCTAAGACATGACCCATGTCCTCCAGCCTGGGCTTGAGGAGGCCAGATCACAGCCCCATCCAAGGCCAGGCCAGTGCTGCAGGGCCCCGGAATCCTGGACCCTCACCCCCACGCACCACTGGAACAGGTCTGGTGGGGAGGGGGCCAGTTTGAGGCTAGAGAGCTGGGACTGCCTGGGGCAGGAGATGGCAGTGAGCAGGTAGAGGTCTGGGCGGATTCAACTGCTCTCCCTGGGATGATCGCAGAGGCCCGGGAGGACACCTCAAAGCCCTCTGGCTAGCGTATCTGGGACGTGGCACAGGAAACTGGTCGATCTGGTCACTGACATTGGTCAACTGTGACCTCAAGCTTCCAGAAAGACCTGGGTAGCTCCTCTCCGAACTTCAGGCCTAAGGACTCTGGGAACCCTTGGGGCAGCAGGCAGAATGGCCAGGTCCAGTGCTGTGGGCAGGTGCTGGACTTTTTGGGCTAACCTGCACCTGGTGAGGACCCTAGGAGGCCACAGAATGGGTCGATGAGACGAATGACAAGACCGTCTACAGCGCGTCCATGACTCTGTGCCAGACACTGCAGCAACGCAGGGGGACAGGCACATTCTGTGTGCTCACTATTCATTTGTGTGTGTGTGTGTGTGTGTGTGTGTGTTTTGGGGTGATGGGAGCAACGCACACTCCTGGTAGTACTTGGGGAACCACGTGGGCAGGGGATCACGAGGACTTAGCAAGCAAAGTCAGCCCCAGGCGCCATCTCCCTGGAACTGCTCTCAGCTCTGACATGGGATCAATGCCACAGTATACAGAGGCGCCAAGGGACTGACACTGAGGCTCAGTGACACAGGACAGCGGGTCAATTCAAAGACCACAAGACTCGAAACGCCCCAGAGCAGCCTGGAGTGGCTTCTTGGACTTCCTCCATTTGCTCCCATTGAGAAATTTGTTTTTGAGTTTTGGGGCCATACTTGGCCATGCTCAGGGGTTGCTCCTACTCTGCTCTGGCATGAAACCTGGTGATGCTCAGAGAGGGACCACAGGGGGTGCCAGGGATTGTACTGGGCAAACCGCGGGCAAGGCAAACGTCTTAACCCTCCTACTATCTCTCCAGCTCTCCAACCCAGAAATTTTTGTACAAAGGGTATTCAGGTATATAACACAGGCTTACAGATCAAACATTTGCTGATAATAAACCTTGCACCCCGCCATGGGGTGGCGACCGTGGTGCTTAAGAAGCTACGCTAGACCAACTGTGTCCAAATCGCTGAGGAGGGATGGACTAAGGCTGTGAGGAAAGGCTGCGAGATGCACCATCCCAGCCCCATCCGTATCACTAAACCCAAATCTGGCAGCAGCGAATGAACGCACTAGGAATCTGAATGTTTGCAAAGTCCACCCAAGACTCCGAATACTCGGGCAGCACCGACCTGCCCCCTCCCCGCCCCTCTACACTGGCCTTACCACTGACTTCCTGCCTCTGGGCTCAGATCCCTCCAAAAACAGGGATTCCTAGCTCCCCAAATGACCCGGGTTAGATATGCTCTCTCAGTTCACACTGACTCCGATCATGAAGCTTCTGCCCATTGGCCCCAACTCTGCACCAATAAAACCACCACAGAGAACGGAGCTGCCCTCGGTAAGCTCCCCCATCTCAGCACCAGCCTGAACGACTATAGTAGAGCTCTGGCCCCCTCCCATCTTTTTGTTTTGGGGGAGTCACACCTGTCACTGCTCTGGGCTTATTCCTGGCTCTGAGCTCAGGGATTATTCCTGGTGGGTTCGCTGGACCCTATAGGGTGTTGGGGATGGAATTTGGGTCAACTCCGTGCACGGCAAATTTCCTCACCTGTTGTACTATTGCTCTGGTTTTACCTCCCATCTTTAATAAGAAAAATGCATACTAGACTCCAGGAGTCTGATCTGAATTCTCCTCAGATGGGAACACGGCCTGCCCCTCTGCTGATGAGGCTGGCACAGAGGGGCAGCACAAGGACGACCATGCCAAGCACATGGACGTCCCCACTGTTGACGGCTGCCGTACCCACCTTGCTGTCTCTTCCAATATATGGAAGCACAACAAAGCCCACTCGTCTGGCCAGAAGCCCCTCATGGGAGTCAGAGGTCTGGGTCCAGTTTCCAGTTGGGTAACTGGAAACGTTCCTATGCAAGACTCTTGCAGGGAATGAGAGAGCAAACTTCTCTCTTGGGGGGTGGGGGAGGTGGGCAAGACTCCCAGCAAGTCCCTCCAATTTTCCCCTAGGCACGGCTGGCACTGGTCCACCCAAGCAAGCTCACCAGTCCTTCTGGGACACATTCTGGTTGTAGATGTGGCCGCTGATGTTGCGGTACGGGGGACAGATACACTTGCACCGGATGTCTTCAGAGCTCTGCAAGAGAAAACACACAGTGGTCAGGCAGGCCTGGGCTAAGACTCTGGAGGGACTCTCGGCTTCCAGGTCCAGGTTCTGGAGGCGACCACAGGAAGGCCCTCACCTTCCCCATACCCTCAAGACCAATACCAGGATGGCATGAACCTCACTCAAGAACAGATCAGCAGAAAAAAACACAGTTATGCAGGAACCTATGACTGAGATCTCCAAGTCCATTCGGATGGGTACTGGGCCTCCTCCCCCCAGCTTCCCAGTTTTCCAGTAGCTTGGCAGTCACACCCACAAACTCCCCCCAGCACCATGTAATCTCATCAATGGCCAAGACCCAGAGACCATAAACTAAAGCTCCTGGAAGAGAGTGCTGCAGAATTTCCTGGAGCGTGTGGCCGCAGTTGTGGCTGCGCTACCTCTTACCCACTACCTTACTTACTTATCAAAAGTAGCCCACATTACTTTGGTTTTAACATACTTGCTTTTACTCTCTTATATTCGGGCTTAAATGGCTCCAAAATGAAATACAGCAACCTTCACACATTTCCCTCTTATTGCGGTGGGAAGTTGCTTGGTGGTAGGACTGGTGTTTGAATATTATCTGTAATGAATTATTGTGAACTGCTTTTATGAAAATTAAAAAAACAAAAAAGACCAACACCAGGGGCCAGAGTGATAGTATAGTGGGTGGGCTGTTGCATATGTCCGATCCGGGTTTAATCTCGGGCATCCCAGAGGGTTCCCTGGGCATCTCCAGGAGTGATTTCTGAATGCAAAGCAGGACAAAGCCCTGAGCATAGCTGGGTGTGGCCCAAAAGCTAAAATACATAAAAAGACACCAGCCAGGGTACAAAAGGAGCTTACAAGAAGCTGTTGAGGGTTGCAAAGGTAGAGGAGGGGTGTGTGTGTGTGTGTGTGTGTGTGTGTGTGGTGAAAGGGACAGAGCTCTACCCTACACCCTTCTCTATGTCCCTCTGCCCTGCAGCCTTGGTGATCTGCCTCTTCCCACCCCCCACCCGCCATCCCGTCTCTGACTTTCTATGTTAGGGCTGGGGGAAGGAAAAGAGTGAAGAGGAAATGGGGTCTTTCCCTGGGGAGACCCTGTCAGGCCCTTGGAAAGTTCCTCCTCTCTGGATCAGGTCAGAACCCAACCCTAAGCATGCCTGCCTGGAAGTTGCCAGAGAGGAAGCAAAGTCAGATGCCACCTTTCTCCAAAGCCCCAGTGGTCACAAACCAGCTCCCGGGCACAAGGCCCTAAGGAAAGATGGGGTGTGTCTCAGGAGCCCCTGGCATTTAGATCACCCTCAAAGACAGAAACGTGCACCTCTCTGGTGCGGAGCAAAGGGAGGCAGGGCAAACTCTGGGAACGCCCCCCAACTCAAGCTCCTCCCAGGCTGGGAAGCCCGAAAGGGGCCCGGGAGGCAGGGCCTGGCTCTCTCTAGCTTCTCCCTACCCCGCCCCTCCACGCCCCTAGAGAGATCTGCAGCTGTGGCTTGGCGGGCACACCCCCAAAAGCCTGGCCCACAGGAGAGTGAGGGGCAGTCTGCAGCTGCGGCAGCAGCAGCCGCTGGGGACACCCGGGCCGGAGCTGGTGCGGACACCCCCTCACCTTGTTGGCTTCTGCCGCCGAGACCAGCAAATAGCCCACCACGGCCACCAGAGCCAGGAGCTTCATGCTTACCAGGCAAGGGGGGCCCAGCCAGACAGGACACCTGCAACAGAGACACGGCGTGAGAGGAGGCGGCCGGCATGGCCAGCGTGGCCAGCAGGCAGGCCCCCGGAGGGGGCTGGGGCTGGGCTCCTGGAACCCGAGGATCCCGGCCGCCGACAGCGGCTTAAGCCCCCAACCCCCACCCCAGCCGCCAAGCCCCCGCGCCGCGCCCGCAGGCTCTTCGGCAGAGGGGGCCTCCGGGACTGCGGTCCCACACCAGGCCCAGCTCCGACCCGCGAATCGCGCGTGTCCACCCCGCCCAGCCGTCCCCGCCCCGGCAGCTTGTCCCTGCTAGGGCCTGGCGAAAACTTTGGGCGCCGCGCCTGGGCGCCTCGATCCGACCGTCCGGGCCCGCGCCCACCGCGGACAAGTGTCTCGGGCCGAGCTGGGGTACACCCGCGACCACCACCCTCCCCCGCGCCCCGTGGGCCCCGCGATCCCCGCACCCCTCCCCCAACCGCGGTCAGCAAACCTGCGCGCCCCACCGCCGCCGCCGCCGCCGCCGCCGCCGTACGAGGCCCAGCTGGACCCGCCCCCTCCGGGCTACTATTGGCTCCTGGAGCCGCCTCTCAAGACAACCCCGCTGTCGCCCAGGCAACAAGGCCCACCTTCCCGGGGCGGGGAGACTCCCGTGCAAGGGAGAGAGGGGCATTTCTCCAACCCGACCAGAGAAGAAAAGGGAGCGTCTGCCTGCCCCGCCGGCTAAAACTCCTGGTGCAGAGCCGCTGCCTCGCGCGGTGTTGGAGAAGGCCTGAGCTGGTTCCATCTTGCGGGGCTTTTTTGGTTTGCGTTTTGGAGGTCACTTCCGACGGTGCTCAGGACGTATCCAGGCTCTGCACTCAGGGGTCACTCTTGGCTGGGGTCCTCCATATGCAAGGCAAACACCCTGCCTGCTGTACTCTCGGTCAGGTCCCTTGTCACAGTTTTCAAGTGACAAAACTTGTAATTGATGAAACAGTAAGAGCAGTAGTAATAATGAAAGTATACTAAAGGCTGTCAGCTGGAAAGTTTTTTTTTCTTTTGGAGCTACAAATTGATCAACTTTTCTGGAGAGGCTAACACCCCTCCTCCTCCTCTTCCTTCTTGAAGTCCTTGGTTTGTCTGGGCTGAGGGTGGGCCGCAGAATGCTGATGTGAAGGAAAGAAGAGCCACCTGGGCACCGGCCGCAATGGACTTCGCCTTGGCTCTGTCTCTAAGCAACCACTTCCCCTCTCTGGCCTCAGTTTCCTTATCTCCAAAAGGAGAGAGAGCCTGATGGATAATGCAGCAAGTAAGGGGCTTGTCTTGCATGCAGTTGACTGGGTTTGATCCCCAGCACTCCATTTCCTCCCTGGGGCCAGCTAGAAGTGATCCCTGAGCACAGAACCAGGAGTAAACCCTGAGCACCACCAAGAATTGCCCTCCCCACTCCCAAAAAAGAGGTGGGCTCAAAACTGCAGTTCCTCACATTGTGGATCCTGGGGAGGTGGGTGATTGTGGGGGTCCATACCAATGGGACCCCAGTCTGTGGTTCCGTGCAGCTGCCCTCCGGTACTGAGCACCGGTCTGCCCCGTGTCTAGCTCACCTGGTACACCACCCCAGGCTTGGTGGGTGCTTGGGAAATGTTTGTAAATTGAATCAGGGAAGTAGCTAGACCCAGCGGGCTGCACTGGTGTCTGAGGCAAAGCCCGGGGCCACTGGAGCTGGAATGACAAGGTTCCTCCCTTCCCAGCAGTGAGGACGTGGGCAGGGGAGATCGCATGTCCTCGTGGCAGCCTTGGTTTGTACATCCATACAGTGGGGGAGAGAACAGCCTCGCTCTCAGGGATGCTGTAGGGACCAGTGAGGCTCTGTGCTCAGACCTGGGGTGATCAGTGGCTGGCCCAAAGAAGAGGGGTCTGTCCTGAGGTTAGCCCACTCTGGAGCGCAGGTGAGCAGGAGTGTGGTGATGCCTGCCACTAGGGGGCAGGAGGGACACTCGCCTCCTTCCACACAGGGAGGTGGAGTCCTCCCAAGGACAAATCCTGGGTGCTGAGACTTGGTCCCCTTCGCTGCCAATGCTAAAGGACGCCAATACTGAGCGGACTCAGCACCCTTGTCCTGGAATGGGAGGGACGCCTCCAGCTTCCTCGCGGCACCTGCATCATGTGCCCAGTGCCCAGAGTGGCGTGCTCAAGTCTGTAACGTGGGTCTTCTGTCCCCACATTTCCTCCTCCCCAGTCCCTCTAGGGCCTCTAGTCTACACCTCGAATCTGCTCCCCCGACACACGCACCTCTGCCTGCTTTCTCCCATGCTGTTTGCAATACTCACATGTTGTGTGGCCCTGTCACCCCAACCCAGAGCCCCGCTGCCTGGCATCAAGCCCAGGATAGCACTGTAACATTGTCCTCTCGTTTTTTGTTTGTTTGTTTGTTTGGTTGGTTGGTTTTTTTTTTTTGCTCGAGCAGGCCCAGTAACATCTCCATTGTGAGACTTGTTGTTACTGTGTTTGGCATATCCAATACATCACGGGTAGCTTGCCAGGCTTTGCCGTGTGGACAGAATACTCTCGGTAGCTTGCTGGGCTCTCTGACGGGGGGTGGGGGGGAGGAATCGAACCCGGATCATCCCAGTTGGCAGTGTGTAAGGCAAACGTCCTACCTGCTGTGCAAGCCCAGGATGCTCGTGTCTAATCACCCCCACTCATCTCTCAGGGATATACTCCCCACAACCTGCTTCTTGCAAAGTCTTTGCCCCATCAACGCCTCCCGAAGGGTGTCACCCCCACTCCCTGCTCCTCTTTGTCCTTTGTCTCTCTCAAACCTCAGGCCCAAGCACTTCTCACCAAGAAACTTTTCCCAAGTAACCTTTCCTCATCTCCACACTCCTCTATGAGTCCTGGGATTCAGAACCATGCCACCAAGAGGAATTCGAGCTCACATGTTTGATTTAACCCTATCCATGTGGGCCGAGCACTGTTCAGATGCCCCAGGAGATAGAGCTGACAAGACACCATAGGATCCTGCTTTCCAGAACATCTCAGAGAGAAGGCAAAGGGTCAGAATGTAATTTAATGCACAAGGAATGTGTCATCGAGGCATCTCAGCCCCTCAATGTTTTGAGCTTTGTATGCCAGGCCCAGGGCTGTGGGCTGGGGACTAAATATTTCAGCTAACAAGGCAAGTCTCTTTTATTTATTTATTTATTTATTTAATTTATTTATTGAATCACCGTGGGAAAGGTTACAAAGCTTTCAGGTTTAGGTCTCAGTCATGCAAATATCAAACACATTTCCCTTTACCAATACTTATTTTTTACCATGAAGAACCCCAATAAAACCCCACCCCTCACCCCTCCCAGTCCCTGTGGGGCAGATGAAGTCTAGTTAACACTCTATCTGCTTTGATTAGATTCATTGTTTCAATAAAAGATTCACCACTATTATTTAGAATTTACCCCCCCCCCCCAAAATCAGACATGCTGAAAAAGCATTGTGAAGTGATTTGCTTTCTACAGCTGGGTTCAAGAATTAGATGTTGGTTTTGGATTTCTGCTATTTTACTTATTGACCCTGGAAGTATTTCTACTGAAAGTCAGATAGTTAAGAAATTGGTTTCTGTGCTCTGGAGTCGTGGCCGTGCTGGAGAGCCGCTAGTGGGGGGCAACTGGTGGCCTCGGTAGGGCATGAAGGGCGGACCGAAACGCCCCCCTTCCCATGAGGTTTTAGTCGCCCCCACTCCCCCGGCTCATACCTGCTGTCCACAAGGCTTCCATGCGGCCGCCATCTTTCTTTCCAGAGAGGAGAAGGCGACTGGGGCAACACCCTTTCCCCTCCGGACAGACATGATGGCCTGGATTAACGCATAGTCCTTTCACTTTTCTGCTCCAAGCTGCTGGGTTCTGCATTAAATCCTTGTGCTTCTGGGGCTGTGGCCGTGCTGGAGAGCAGCTCATGGGGGGCAACTGGTGACCTCGGTAGGGCGTGAAGGGCGGACTGGAACGTCCCCCTTCCCATGAGGTTTTAGTCGCCCCCACACCCCCGACTCATACCTGCTGTCCACAAGGCTCCCATGCGGCCGCCATCCTTCTTTCCAGAGAAGAGAGGGCGAATGGGGCAACACCCTTTCCCCTCTGGCAGACTTGATGGCCTGGATTAACGCATAGTCCTTTCACTTTTCTGCTCCAAGCTGCTGGGTTCTGCATTAAGTCCTTGTGCTTCTGGGGCTGTGACTGTGCTGGAGAGCCGCTTGTGGGGGGCAACTGGTGACCTCGGTAGGGTGTGAAGGATAACAAGGCAAGTCTTGGCCTTGGTCATGTGGAACTCAAGATCTGTTGCAGGAAAAAGACAAAGATATCAGTGATTCAGGAAGGTGAGCGACAGTGGGAACTAGACTCAGAGGTACAGGAACTCAGCACAGCAGAGAAGAGGCTTTGAAGGTAACGGTGGGACAGTGGGAGCTAGACTCAGAGGTACAGGAACTCAGCACAGCAAAGAGGCTTTGAAGGTAACAGTAGGCCATTGGAGCTGGGCTCGTGGTGGGCAAGATGGTGATCTCCTCCTGTGACCATGCCCTGGTGTCCAGACCGGGAGTAAGGAAGTTGATTTAAAGCGATCATTCTACATGGAAGAAAGGACTTTGTAGATGTAATTAAACTAAATCTCTTTGGGATAAGAGAAAAGCCTATTTATCCAGATAGGTCTGGCCCAGTCCAGTGGGTCCTTAAAATGAAGAGCTGCTCTGGTGGTGGTCAGAGGAAGAGGTGACAGCAGAATCAGGGGCAATGCCACGGCAGAGGGATGCTGCAGAGAGTGCTGGCTTTAAAGATGAAGATGGACCTGGGGACGTAGCTCTTTCTTGGCACAGCATTTACCTTGCATGTGTGAGGCCCTAGGTTCTACCCCCAGAACTTTAAAAGATACAAAAGATACAAACCTGAAAAAAATTCAGATGGCTGGAGAGATGGCTCAGTGGGCTGCAGCATGGCGTACATTCAGAGGTCCCTGGGTTTGACCCCTATTACCACAAGGTCGCTTGAACAGCCTTGGAAGTCACCTCTGAGCACCAAGCCAGGAGTTGCCACTGAGTGCTCCTGGGTGTGCCTCAAAAACAGAGGGGGGGGATAAGGGAATGGAAGAGAGGAAGGACGGAAGAAGAAGGGAGGAAGGAGGGAAGGAATGAAGGAAGGGAGGGAGGAAAGGAGGAAGAGAGGGAGGGAGGGAGCCAAGCAGGGAGAGAGGGAGGGAGGGAGGGAGGGAGGGAGGAAGGAAGGAAGGAAGGAAGGAAGGAAGGAAGGAAGGGAGGGAGGGAGGGAGGGGGTCTAGAAGGGAGACTAGAAGGGAGAGAGGGAGGGAGGGAGGAAGGAAGGGAGGGAGGGAGGAAGGAAGGGAGGGAGGGAAACAAGCAGGGAGAGAGGGAGGGAGGGAGGGAGAGAGGGAGGAAGGAAGGAAGGAAGGAAGGAAGGAAGGAAGGGAGGGAGGGAGGGAGGGAGGGAGTCTAGAAGGGAGACTAGAAGGGAAGGAGGGAGGGAGAGAGACTGGAAGGGATGGAGGGAGGGAAAGAAGGAAGGAAGGAAGGAAGGAAGGAAGGAAGGAAGGGAGGGAGGGAGGGAGGGGGGAGGGAGACAAGCAGGGAGAGATGGAG